CAATAATCAACTTTTTGATTTATTCTAGAAAATTCTTTTGTTCTACTGGCGCAATTTTTTTCGAAACACAGTGTAGTCTTCAAGTTACGATTATAAACGCAAGAGAAGTTCTGCCAAAAATTCTAATACAGACGTAGTATTTATTGAAATCGACAAGAATATCCACCGACATAAATGCGGTCGACGTGTACAGTAAGTTTAAAGAAAGTTTTATTACTCTTTCTAGTACAAACTATACAAATAACTGGAAACTATGAATACTGTTATTCGCGAGCCATATATTAAGGCGTACGTTACATATTCATTTTCGATATATATATTATGGCTGCTTTTAGGGAGATAACGAATGAAAGCTATTATTATTATCTACTTTTTAACTAACGTTCATTCGAAGTGAATCCATCTAACTTCTTACTCCTCTTTCGAAGGTAATAATTGTTATTATTGATTGCATTTAATGAGATATTACTAAACTTGTTATTATTTTTTAGATCATGGCAAACACGACGCAAATAGGACATGAGTATGAGAAGAAAATATTTGACATCCTTGTGGAAGCAGGTTATCACGTGGAGTGGCGATCGAGGTGAGTTTTCAGAGTATTTTGTTGAATGGTCAATGAAGGTACGCTGCCACTAGGTGTAAAATATCGGAGAATTGGAAGCCACAAATCGTAAACTACCAGTTAGGTGATTACTTAATGTAAGTATCTGAAGTTACGCTGCTACTTGGGTATAAATCGGGTTTCGGTAAGCGCAATGGGTGTATATATATATCGATTCCCGTATCCGACGAAGCCGCCAGATATTTTATTCCGGGTGTGGTGAATAAGATACCTTTAAAACATTATGTAGTTCCTGATATGGTAGTTGCTTTTTGTGAACGTTCTCCGTTGCCGACAAAGCCCCCAGAGATTTTATTCCGGGTGTGGTGAATAGGATACATTGACCATTTGAATTGAAAGCGCATCGTGGCCGCAGCTTGCGAAAGTCGCCAGTCAGGTACCCAGCTCTGGCGTACGGTGGACGGCCTGCTGTGAGCGTTCTTCATTGGTTTTTGACTATGATGATGCAATTACTCATGTTAATACTTTATCAGGAATAAAACCGATAACGGGGTGTGGATTTGGTTGTGCAGCTTTTTGGTTGCACAATCTTAATCCAATGCAAGAATCATGGCAGGGCAGTTGGTAAGGTCTTAGAATTTTATCACTATTACTACTAACTATACTATATATTAATAATATACTTATTAAAAGGTCCCAAGCCAGTGCGGGAACTTGCGGGTGTGCTTGCTGAACTTATAAAAAACAAGACTTACCATTGCTGCATTGCAATGTTGGTAGCAAAATCCTTCACTGGACATGCATACAAGCAGGAGACATAGTCTCCACATCCTGTTAAATTATCGGTGGTAAATGAACAGGAAAATATTATTAATATAGTGGAGGATTTAAACGACTTTGTTGCCCTCAACCTGCATGCTCTTGCAGAAAAAGAGGGTATAGAAGTTGTTCTATGCAATGCAGTAATGGTAACAAATAATAAGTTGGAGGAGTTGGAGGAGAAGATGAAACTAGTATTAAAAAGGGGAGAAGAGAAGGAAAAAGAATTGAAGTTACTAAGAGAGCAGCAAAGGAAAAATGCTTTCGTTTTTTGTTGTCTGTGTTGTCTGTTGTATATTATTTTCTTATTACATCAAAATAAATAATATCACTTATAATAATAATAATAATAATAATAATAATAATAATAATAATAATAATAATAATAATAATAATAATAATAATAATAATAAGTCAATTTTGGTTATTGAAATCATTATCTAAAGTTAGAAATCTTGTGTTTTCCGCAATAGTAATTCGTTAAGCATAACTGTTGCTAATGTGTGTACCAAAATTGACACATAATATTTAAATTACGATATTACGATTCGCTTGAATGCAAAGTCATAATCTGGAATAGTGCAACAACCAAGAATCCAATGCTCATATAACTTAACAACTGTTGTCGAGGTGTATACCAAAAATTGACCGCAAAATCAATTTTCGTCATAATCTGGAATAGCGCAACAACCAAGAATCCAATTCTCATATAAATTGTGTGGTTGTTAATCATAACTGTATACAAAATTAACACAGAATATTAAGTACAATTTAAATTTCGATATTCCGTTCGCTTGATTATTCGAAAAAGCAAAATCGATTTTTTCGTCGTAATCTGGAATAGGCGCAACAACCAAGAATCCAATGCTTATATAACTTACATGTTTGTTCATTGCAGTTATCGTATAAAATGTCAATACTAATGCATGATGTTATTATGTGAAATTCATCAATACAACAATACGCCGCAAAATCACGTATCATGTTTGAGTAATTATTATCTACACATATGCCATAACAAATGTCAGTAGAAAGGTGATAATAAACTTTAGTTAGTGGTTTTCCATCAAATCTGTTGGTAGTTACTTCGTGAGCAAGTTCATCATTAGTAAATTCTCTTTGGCATGCAAGTGCATTGCATTGTTGACAATCCAGTCCAGATCCTTGAAGCAAACACAGATGTTGGTGACAATAAATAGCAGGATAATAGGAATTCTATTGACAGTGTACATCGTAGACGGAGATTCTATTAATTACTATCGATTATTATCAAATAAAATGCAACAGTAGTAGCAGAAGTGAAAATGCTGGTCCATTGGGATAAGAGGCTACGAAAGTTGCTACTAATATTAGTATAGCCATGGCCAGCGTTTTTTGTTTTTTCAATCGTAGGTGTAAACAAATAAAGAACGCAAAACTCCAGCGTTTTTGTTTACCGGCTAATCTTAATCTCCCGTCTGGGGGTACAATGGTTTATCACCAATAATGAACGCGTTCTTTCCTCCGTTTTAACTTTCTTCCAGAACAAATCAACACTGACCGAAGACGTCTAATGAAGGATTGTATTAAAAGCTTGAGAATAAACTCTTTTTGTAATTGGCCTGTCTTGGTTCGGCAATCCTAGTTCGTTCGATTCTGGCGATTTGTCCTGAGTAAGCAATATCCCATTCTAATTCGTCTTCGTTACCGATAATGTCGCTGAGGTCACTTCCAAATCCGATTGACTCTTCGTCATCACTATTATATCCAGTGGGTTGGGTTGAATGTCTTGGATATATTCAGGGTATCTGCCATCTCTGTACTCATCAATTATTGTATCGTCGGAATGGATGCTGATAGTCGTTTCCTCCTCCAGGGGTATCATTAATTCCATCGGTTCGATCGAATAATGGATTCTAGGGCTTGCTATATCATTTTCGAAGCCTGAATCATGGTCGGATCTATTGTCATCATCACCGCCATCCACATTGTCAAATCTTTTCCATCGTAGAAATCAGTTGTAAAATTGTTGCCATCTGGTGGGTTGTTGTGCATCGTATAAGAGGTCTCTAACCCTGGCCTGTGCTTCTGAGGACCATTGATCAGTTCTGTCGTTTACTCCAGACTGCAACGATATCGGATAATGGGCATTTGAATATAACTGATCTTGCCCAATTAAGATGACTTCACATTCGCTGGCGCGTCTGATCCCCAAACTTTCGATGTAGCTCTCTTTTGCCATTAAATGACAAGGCTTTTCTCTCGGCCGCATGCATACTCTAAGGATATCAGACTCCATTTACTCCAGTCAGAGAAGGAACTACCTTCAGAGAGAAAGTATGGGTTTATGGTTGTTATCCATTTGGAAAACGAAGTTGGTTTAGAAGACGCGTCAAATACTTGGATATTTGAAAACTAAATTTATAAGTGTAAGTTTTTTATATTACAAGTGAGTCTCGATATAACGACACTGCTATATAACGAATCTCGTTATAGCGACAGAAATCTTAGAACGAAAATTTTATATTGCTTAGTTATCGTATGTAAGTTAATTCTCGATATAGGGACATTCTCGATATAGTGATTGGAACCGAGCGTGTTGTTATATATACAGTCCCGGAAAATAATAATGGCGGTGCCTATTAAATGCAATTTCCACAAAGTGTTTACATATAAGTTAAAC